AATGAGGCGTTTTCTTTGATTTACAGCTTAACTATTACCTCAAACATAAAATTAAAAAGGACCGCGCGTAATTTGTAGGAGAATATCTCTCACGTTTTGCGTGAACGTCATAACTGCTCAAAATACATAACTCACCATGCTTCGTGATAATAAGACAGGGCTGAAATGACGCTTTTGACGGTGGAGAAATATTCGGGGATCTCTGCTGATCGTTCGCACCACAGAAGAAAACCTGTGAGCCATGCTCTGTGAGAAAAGTTAAATGAGCAATCGATTGAATTAAATGGCTACTGGTGGTCAGCGTACCTACCCCTGAAAGGCCATAATAATGACCCGTACATGACGTACCTACCCCTGACACAGTTCAGTAACCGTCTCGCAGACTGGGGCACCCGGGGGGTTGGGGCACAATTTGAAACTGAATGCAGTGAGAACAGAACGTCAATACCTCGCATTTTTGTTCAGTTCAATAGTTTTCCTTTTTCGGTTAAAGGCGATTAACCAGACGAACTTTTGTACTCTCAAGTAAGAACTTCTCTTTGTACTCGTGGGGACTGGTATGGCCACCCGAAAAATAGTACACTCTTTCAAGCCAATCTACACTCGGTATCAGTCTCTGCTTCTGAGTTTTGAATCAATTTACCAAAATTTACGGACTGAATCCAACACTAGTGAAATGATTCGTTTATTCGTACCGTGACGAATGAAATCATGAAAGTCTGCTTATATTAGGTTTGACTTTAAAGATTTTTGTTGCTTTCTCTCAAGCGAGGCGCATAATAAATTAGAGGTTTCGCGTGTGTTCTGTAAAATGGTCGGTATGCTGTTTAATAAAGATGCCATAATTCAGAAAGTTCATCAAGCTGCTCGTGACGGTTCTTCCGGTCTGGAAGATCTTGTAAAGCGGCTGAACACCGACGAAAGGAAAACCGTTCTCGTAACGCCGGAAGACCCTAAAAGGCAGCGAGATAACTACTCCTTTGATCATCGCCGCTTGTAATGGACACCTGAATTCTATAAAGATTTTTCTAAGTTATAAACTGACATCGAAGCCCAAGGGACTTTCAGAGTTTGCCACGACGTCAGAGTACTGGGTTTATCGAGGGTTGCACAGCTTTATGGGCCGCTGCTCTCAAGCTCATAGTTCCGTCCATTTCTACCATGATTAGATGATTTTGTTGGCTTGTGACCGTTGTGATCTGTTAATTACATGTGTGTTAATGGTGCAATCACGTGTAATGACTCCTGTCGCTCTAAGTGGTTTCGAGGATCATAAATGAATTATAGTCTTAGGACTGGAAAGAACTGTTTCTATGTATTCAGGAAAAAAAGCGAAAGCCCTATCGAGGATTTAAAGCCGTCGACCGTGTACGGGCGTAAATATATCTTGTTCATATTTTACATAACACCATTCCATGCACGTCTCCAGATCAGTTAGGCCCTCTCCCCGGCCCCTCCCTAACTTAATAAATACGTGTTACAATCCACGCTTCTCAGAAAGGAAGAAATGGTATTTCTGACGAATGAGTCTGCGAATAAGGCAGAAATAGATATTTTGTCGGCACGAGATACGACAAGGCCTGGGCCTTAGGCCCGAGCATCATGGGTAATGATGCAGTGGTATATAAGGGAAAGTATAGCACGTGATGTCCATCTAGGCCTCAGAACCAACCGTTCACCTCTGGCTGATGACAAATTTATTTTAGTTTGAAAACATATTTTCTTTAGCTGTGAAGCCTCGTAGGATGGGCTGCCAACTGCTCTGAGTTTGGGCCATGGTTCCTACCCAGATTTCCTGTCATGTTTTTCCCCAAAGGGGTTTTTTCTGGCAGGTTTTTTCTGGCCTCTGTATAACCGTAGTTATGTCCTTGTAAGCGGTTGCCCATCTCTGTTAATCCAGACTTGGTGAAGTTTGCATGTTAGTAATGTATACCTTTTTTTTTAATGTCTAAGGAATTGACTGTATATCAGGATTGTATATGGTATATCAGTTGCGAAGATATGTATGTATGCATTCCCCGGGCTATATATGCCTCGGGTTGGTTCTCGGCAGGCTTCCCTAAATAAACTTATTTGGTGTACACTACTGTGTTATTTGTTGTGTAGTGGAGACAAAATTGTTTGGTTTCTAGCGGATAGATTAGGTTCGTGAGAAGGCGTATGAATGACAATGTAACGAAACTGAGTGTTTCTTCTGACAGAAAATGAAAAGGTTCCTGAACATGATTTGCATCAGGAAACCTTTTTTTAGATAAAGCAACTCGTACGTCAGTTTCTAAAACATATAGACTGAACCAAATATCGGTAAAATGAACTGTTTCTCCATCGTGACAGCTGAAATCAATGAGCCTGCTTATGCAAATTAAAGTTCTGACCATAAAATTATCAATGTGTTTGTTGTTTTGCTCACACAGTTCAAGTCGCGCACAGCTGAAATCAATGAGCCTGCTTATGCAAATTACAGTTCTGACCTCGTACGTCAGTTTCTACAACATATAAACTGAACCAATCATCGGTAAAATGAACTGTTTCTCCATCGTGACAGCTGAAATCAATGAGCCTGCTTATGCAAATTAAAGTTCTGACCATAAAATTATCAATGTGTTTGTTGTTTTGCTCACACAGTTCAAGTCGCGCATAGCAGAATTTAGAGGTTTTGTATTTGTGTTATTGGAGTAACGTTAGAATACCCCGCCATATCGAGCCATTACTGAAAAGAGCTAGCTACGCGGTACGCTGTACTCGGAAAGAATTAAATTCAAGATGGCGATGTATTTAAGTAGCTGGCTACTGGGTACGCAGTACTCGGAAAGAACGAGGAATGCACAATACCCTGTCTTTGTTTTCACGGCGTACCACGTAGCCAGCACATAACATTGTTGCGCCATTTTTAATCACTTGTCCATTGCATAAATTTAATTCTTATTGAAATAATTATTTTCTGGGTACCGCGCAGCTGGTCAAGTGAAATTTACTTCGAGTGGCGGGGTATTCTCCAGTTAAGCCGTGTTATTTGAAATGGGTAACACAGAATCTATTCTTGATGCGACTTCAGCTCATCAAGCTGATCGTGATAAAGATTCTGGTCTGCTTGATCAGTTCCTAAAGGATTTTAACCCCGAATCAAGAAAAGCCGCTCTGGAAACAAAACAAGAAGATGGCAACGACTTTGCCACTCGTCTCATCATCGCTGCTCGTGATGGAAAACTGGGTTTCGTAAAGGTTCTTTTACGTTATGAAGCGAACATCGAGGCCCGTGGAACAATTAAGATTGACGGAGAAGTTATACTGGATTGTACAGCTTTATGGATCGCTGCTGCTAAAGGTCATTTTGATGTTGTGAGACTCTTGATCAAACAAAACGCTGAAGTCGACTGCAGAATATCGAGCAATTCGACTCCGTTGAGAGCTGCTGCCTTCGGTGGATACCTTGATATTGTGCGCTGTTTGGTTGAGAACGGGGCCGATGTAAATGCACACGCTTGTGGCAACAGTACTCCTTTGATGACAACATGTCACAGCGGCCACCTGGATGTTGCTTCCTATCTTCTCAAACACGGCGCACACATAAATCTGCAGGACAACGATGAACGCTCGTGTCTTCATTATGCTTCGAAACAGGGTCACGTTCAGCTAGTTTGTGAGTTGCTCGCTTCAGGAGCAAAACAAACACGAAATCTTAACCGTTTAACACCACTTCTTGAAGCCAGTAATAATTGTAAAATTGAAATGGTGGAGTGGTTCATCAACCGATCAGAATGTTCAAAGGAACAGAGAATTGATGCTCTTGAGCTTCTAGGGGCCACTATTGCTAATGATCCTCATGCTTATGACATTGAAAAAGCGTTTAGTTTCATGAAGCGAGGAATGGAGGAGA